AAATTGATAAATTCTACAAAAAACTGAAACTTCATGTCAAAAAAGACCAGTGTGAAGCCTATATGAGTGATTTTCTTCTGAAACTCGTGCCCAGATTTTCTCAGTGCTTTTTGATAGCATGCAAGGGATTCTGGGAGGTTCATTTGCATGTATTTGCATGGTAAGACCAATATAGAAATTAAAGGATAGAAATTAAAAAAATTCCTCCTATTTTTTTTCCTATTCTGGGATGAGAATTCCTATTTATTTCCTATTTTTGAGCCACTGTCATTCCTATTTTCCTATTTTCTAAGAGTCATTTGTCACTTGGCACCCTGTCATATACTGACAAAGAAATTGACCTTGTTAAAGCTTGCCACCAAAATCAAATCACACGTTTTCAAATGTGTTTAAAGTTAAAATTGTAATCATGCAGTTGTGAAATCCAAGTCAGAAGTAAGAAAGACACATTGGCTAATTACTCATTGTTCTATCAGTGCTGAATCAAAAAATCTAAAGTTGACAATTGTGCTGCTGTTGTTGGGTTGAATGAATGACAACAATAGGGGTCAGGTTAATAGACTGTCATGAAACCTCAGTACGCTGGACACCCCTCTAAACTAGACATTTCCTCCAGTCTTGAGGGTGTCCGGTTTAGAGGGGTTCCACCGTAAAGAGTTTCTAAAGCTAACATTTTGAGCATCAGCCCTCGTCAGAGCAAAAGATGAAGGACTAATGCTTAAAACCTCAGCTTCAGAGACTGTTTATGGCGGCCAATTTACACCAGTGACTCAGTTGATGAAAACAAGTTATCTGTGATACCTCCCAATGATGCAGCTTAACCTCTTTACTCTTTCCTAAATGACAGGCCTGTTTGCTGTTCTTTTATATTCTTGTAATTTAATCTCTGTGGTCTTAAAATGTTATTTCATAAAATGGTTTCTCACTCAAAAGTGTGGCTAAGGAGGTTAAAAGTCCATTTTTATAGTTACATGCTTGGTTACCAAGCCTTTGAATAAGAGTGAGGTTAGGGGTGACCTTGTTATGATGCTAATGTTACTTTTTTTTTCAAATGTAAATTTGTTTGTTATCATTCAAATTAGATACTGGTCTCTATCACAACAAGGTCACCTTCAGCCTCACTCCAAATCAAATGCTCGACAACTAAGTGCACAAATGTAAAATGGCCTCTTTGTGCAAGAGGAAACAAGAACTATAACATCCCTCAATGTTACCGTTGGGCTTCACATTCCCCAGCTGGGTCCCTTGCGGAAGCGCTTGACTCTCAGGCATGCATGTGAGTGGCCTTTGAGTATAGACTACGAGGGCCACTGAGTTTTTACCTGATTTCAAGCTGAATTCGATCTGAATTCGATAGTTTAGTGCTGAATTTTGAGTTCACCTCACGTGCCTCGTGTTAGAGTAAACGGTTAACTTTATGGTTCGTCTTCATTCGTATTTTCTAAATGGTAGACTCTATGGTTGGACTTTACTCGCATTTACATACAATATGAAAGGGCTCTGTAGTTTGTTTATATGAAGAGAAATATTAGGTTAGTGTTATTGCTAGCAGGAAAGTTACTAGGGACAGTCAGGTTTTTAATTTCCATTGAAATGTTGCAGATTGAAGTAATCTCAGGTTTATTTGTCGTTATGTTTTTGAAAAACAGCTTTTGACCCTAATGCCTGAGAGTACCATATGTCACAATATCCCAGTACATGCTTAATGTTTAATCATTTTTTCGGACATTTTCACAACGAATGAATGAATAACTTTATTAACGTGTCAATCGTTCTAGTTTATATAACCAAAAGGTTATTGAAAGATCTGCACTTTGAAGGTAAAAAATTATGGCTCCTTCTGATATAATACTTGGTTTACCACCCCTGCAACTTTATATTGTTGTACTGTTTTGTTCGGCGGAGGCATGGTGGCCTCATGGTTGATGCGCTCGACTCCGGATCAAGTGGTCCAGGTTCGAGCCCCGGCCGGGACATTGCGTTGTGTTCTTAGGCAAGACACTTTACTCTCACAATACCTCTCTCCACCCGGATGTTTAAATGGGTACCGGCAATTTAATGCTGGGGGGTAACCCTGCGATGGACTGGCATCCTATCCAGGGGGGAGTAGAAATACTCCTAGTCGCTTCATGCTACAGAAACCGGAGTTAAGCACTGTACTAATGGGCCACTAGGTTCGTAAACAGACTTTACCTACAGTTTCAACTCCTCCAACAACTGGAACAATGGCCTAGCTTTGAAATATCTCTAAGAAACATCTTCACATGTATAGTAATTATATTAATCCTTGCATAATTTGTGGTAGGCCACACTTCACACTTTATTTTTATTTTCATATAATAATTATATTTACAAGGATACTCCTTTGACTTCCCATAGCAAAAATAATTTAATGCTTATCAACGCAGCTAAATTTTCTTTCTTAACTAATTTACTATAGTCACTCTAGAATTAAAACAATTTAAATAAAGAAATATAACAAAAAAAAGACAAAAAAGACAAAAAAGACAAAAAATACACAAGAAAAGTAAAAGGAAAATGAAAGATGTTCGTTGTAAAGGAAAAAAGGTCCTGGAGTTTCAGAGTGTATGCAACACATTGTAGAACTCAATTATTCACAGTTCTTAAAAAAAACAAAACAAAACACATACCTGCAGAGAATCTCAGCAAATAATCCTACAAGAGCTACTTGCAGAGATGAATCTGTGTGTTTGGAGGAGGAAATAAGTAAACCATTCAGTCACAGTCAGTGCTAAGATGAGCATCTAGTCACAAGATATTGGAAATTGCTTCTCTCTGTATTAAGTAGACAACCTGTTGTTATATATTAATTAAGTATGTGAGCCAACTTGTCCATGGTATTTCTTACAATAAAGCTCTATCTCATCCAACCCTAATTGCACTTGAGGATCCTAAATTTTGGTTCCCCAACTTTCTAAATAAAATACAGATCCAGCATCACATTCCTTGATATCAGTACTTACTTGTGTATGCATAAAGACGGTAGTTTGTTTCAACGACAATAAAGCCCTTCTGATCTGTGTTAATGACAGTTGAACTCCCTAAAACAGATAATAATTTTCAGTAATCTCTCTGCCTAAAAAAAAGGTATTTAATATAGATTGCACTCCAACAAATATTTACTTAACAGAAATGAATAAATCTTTTCCTGTACCCACATCAGTTCAACCCTAATTCCACCCTAACATCAGCGTGTATATATTCTCTAAACTGTTTTCTGAACATTTCCTAGGGTGCTGAAAAGGAGAATTTGTTTTAGAAACAAGAGCTTTTTCAGTTAGTGATCATTTCTTTCATTCTCATGACCTTAATGTGTGATTCAGGGGCAGGGCTATAGCCTAGCAGCACCCAGTGGCCCTTGGCTCGTTACTTTTGCTCTTGGGCGACTCAAGAATCTTAGCTTTTTCATAGAAAGCATATGCTGGGCACCCTGGATTTCACAGTTTCAGAGCACTGGGCTCCCTTCAATTTTTCTTAGAGGACAGCCTTGAGGGGTGACAGTGTAAGGAGAAATTAAATACTAATCACCCTTAGGGGTCAAAAGGCTGAAAGAAAAGTGACTTTTACCTATTCCTGCTGAAGCCAAATTAATGGCTAATCTGGTGGGGTAGTATCTTCGTGACTTTCGCTGAAATAGTTTTCACATATAAATTAGAAAGACTGCATGTCCACAACAAACGACACAACATAGGAGATAATTGAAACAATACCTTTCGTTGAAAGACAAGACCAAACTCTCTCAGATGTTGAAGAAATTTCAGTTGAGACTCACTCATTCCCTCTGTTGAGTAGTCCTGTAGAATGGTATAAAATAACAGGAAATTATACTGCAAGCATAAAATGGCTCCCATTCAGAGTAAAAACCAACTCATTCCCTCAGCAATCTTAATTTTTCTTGAAAATCAAAACACTGATAATAATAATAACTACAATAGTAATAATAATAATAATAATAATAATAATAATAATAATTATAATAATAATTATTATTTAACTTAAGTCTCAATCTTATGGCCAACCATAACAATTAACTAATTGGGGAGACAGTATACAACTAAGAAGTATAATTATTAATGCAACAGTATAACTCACAGAAGACCTAAATGTGTTAAATACATATAATTATGTGTTAACTATTTTAAATCCTATGAGATATGAGTTACAAGTTACAAGGTTGTTGCTAAGTACCGGCAGCCAGGGAAATTCGCTGCATGAAAAAGTGGTGATTGCCGGCTGGATTTTTGGCCAGTGATTGCTTGGTAAAGCACAACAGGCATCACTGAGGTTACACACTTACAATTGTTCACCAGCTTTGAGGCCATGCCACCTCACTTGAAATTTCAGCCACTGGTCCAGTGTAATTTCTTAGCGACAACCCTGCAGATATGGAAACTACCAGTATATCCAAGACCATTGTAAATCATGGTCATTTTCAACCAATCTACTTGGCAGGCAGAATTTATTTTCTCAAATATAAAACTGACCTTGCCAAGGCTTGCAAAGCTAATTTGAAATAAAAAAGACAGGCACTCCACAAGATCCATGCCTATTCCCTGAAAAATATAAAAGAAATTTTAAAGTGAGAAAAAATTTAGAATAATTTGAAGCACAAAGAAGAAAGGAAAGCGGAAGTGGAAAGGCAGAAATCATTGGAAAAGGGGTACGAAGAAATTTGTTACAAAATAAGTGACTTTCAGGGATGTGAAAGTAGTTACAGACCGTAGGCACAAAGTACCCTATGTGCATTTGTTAAGCACATACAGCTACACTAGTTGTAATCAATATGACACATGGTGAGGTTGTTGTGTTTACCTCAACAGTCTCCAGGTATTGAATCATAAAGTACCACACTTGTGAAGCTGTGTCCATAAGTAAAAACTGAAATCCAGCAGGACTTATAACTTGTGATGTGCCGGCTGTCTCACTGTTTCAAGAGTCACAAAAACATGCAAAAGACAATTAAAGTTGCAGATACCATGCACCATATTCAGCACAATGCTGCCTCAAATTTAGTATTATAATAGAACAACCAATTGGCAATTACCATTTCATGAGTCCTGACTAACCCAATACACGGACAACATCCTGACTAACTGCAGCACCTTCTTCACTTGAAGTATAACCAGTCATAAAATGAAGAACAGACTAAAGTGTGCAAAAAACCAACTGTAAGAACACTTCCGAAATTATAAGATCACCTATCTGCAATAAAGTTTACACTCTTCAAAACAAGTAAAGCTTTGAGACAAATTATGACCTTTTCCGACTTTATTGAAGGTTTCTAAGTCCAAAATAATGAAAAAGATTGTTTTATTAATCATTCCTGTAGTCTCCTGTTTTGATGTTCTCCAAAAATTAACTTTAATCAGTCATTTTCTGATGTGTAAAACAAAATTGCAGATTTCCTTTACTATCTGGATTTTTCATGACAAGCGATTGAACCCTACTGCAGCTACAGTTTGCATAGCAATGACTCTTCTAAGAAAAACAAAAAACTCTCTTTCCATGTTTAATTTTTGTAAGTCTCATGGTCACCAGAGATGAAAATTTTCTTTGTTGACAGAGTCTAGAAATAATTATTTTTCGAATACATCAGCACACCAACCTCCCATCTTTCCATACTGTAGTTATCAAGAAATGGAATGTCACGTGCATGCTTGTCTCTTTCATTTTGTTCACCGGATCCTATCCATGGGTTTCCTCTAAAAATTTAATAGCAATTTTTTTTATATTTATTTATCAAATATTTCATATATTTCACATTTTGTTACAAAATGCTGACATCAAGGTGTATAATTACCCGCCGCAGAGAGCAATCTTGAGATTGCTGCGGAATGTTGCATTCATTTCAAGCCTATTTGGTACTCCACCACTTGATTCTTTCCAAATCCTGAGGCTTTTCAGTCTGTTTATAGATCCTATGTAATGTCTGCAGTGGGTAACAAAAGTTATCTAGTACTAATAAAAAATATTAGTTACAGTATGTAAAATAATATATGGTTGAAAGCAATTATACCTAGTATCTAATAATGTTTCAGGGCCCGGTTGCATAAAGGGCGGATAACTCCATCCAAGTGTTAAAAATACGCACTGCACTATCCAACAGATAGAGACTTATCCAGTAGATAGCTTCATCCATCCTTTGAATAACCAGGGCTTGTACATTATCTTTCTGTCTTTAATTAGCAAGTGTTAAGCTTTAAGAAGGGGGCATTGGGATTTTCGGTTTTGCGGTTTTGGCTATTTTTTAGATCTGTTTATCGGTTTTTGTGCTAAAAAACATCAGTTTTTTGGTTTTGGTATAAATTGCGGTTTGCAGATTTTGTGTTTTTCAGCATTTGGTTTTCGGTTTTCACGAAAAACACTAAAGGGTTTTCGGATTTGATATCCGATGTGGTTTTCGGCTTTTCCTATTAATTTTGACCTATTTGGGTTTCGGTTCTCTTCGATCTGAGTGGCAATCATGCACCTCCACTACCACTAAAGGCAAATGCGTGACAAACCAATTCAAATATCGCAGGGATCCCTTGGGGGTTTGTGCATCTTTAATGACGCACAAGATTTTGATCATCTGCATGGGTTCATATGTCTTGAATGACACCCAAGACTTTGACCTTGCAATGTGGAGTACTTAGGTCAAGGTCGATCAGTTTGCCAACCATGTCTTCCAATGTGCCAAATGCGCCGGCAATGGAAGAAGGTCTAGGACCTCAAGAAGCAATTGTGGATTGTGTCGTGTTTTTTTTTTTTACAGGCAGCGAGAATTTCAGAAAGAAAAAACAAGTTTAGATGCAAAGAAAAAAAGAGGAAGAGGGAAGCCTGCACAAGCATAAAAGCAGTGTTTGGTAAGTCAATCGTACCAATGTCATTGTTTACACTACAATATCTTAATCGCTATATCCTATACAGGGGCATAGCATCCACATACGCACGTATGCCCGTGTGTACAACTGAAATCTGAAATCTATCCCCTTATAGCATTTGTCACAGTTGCTATAAAATAGGACCGATTTTAAAGTTCGAATTATACTGGCGTGTGTGTTTGTTTTTCCAGTGCCTTTTCATTAATCCATAAACGACAAGAAACATTACTTGGTTTCCTAGACTTGTTAACTTCTCTAGATGTTTTAGGAAGCCAACAGCCCTTTTAGCTTCAAAACTCTAGAGATGGGTAAAATAAACAACTAACTACAGCATTTTCCGTTGCATTTATTTATAAAAAAAAGTTCCATGAAAGTAGTTCAAAATGGCATTTCCGAGACCCTAAATTTCAAAATTTTCTGGGGGAGTATGCCACCAGATCCCCCCTAGTTTGGGGCGCCTTTGGCGTTACCAATTTCCGCACACCTTTGAAATCTCACACTACGCCTCTGGTACATATATAATATATGGCTTGTTTAGGATAAAACAGACTTAAAGAAGACTTACAGTCCTTAAACACTTAGAATACACGATATCTAAACCTTTGGAAATTCATGA